TCGATCAATCTAATTATTACCGCGCGCGCGTTCTCCGTCCTCCAGTCCGACCTAGCCGTGCGGCAAGCGGGTGTTTTTGTTAAATCTCTCTCACATCAACGATCTCTTTTTCGCATGACAATTCCGGACCCCCCACGTGGCGTGGAGAATACCTCATTTCGTTCGGAGAATCAACGAGGAGATCCCGTGAAGCCGTACGAAGAAAGTGACGGTGGCGGAAGAGGAGGACGACGACGAGCTGTTCCGCAACATTTTCCACTCTGACGGGTGGTGAATCACGGCGTGGACTATTGGGCGTAGACGACCTATCGCCGGAAACGGGAAAGAGTAAATTCGGTGGTGGAAGAGCGGGGCGAAAAAAAAGCAAGGCGAGAGCGAGTTGAGACGTCGAGAGAGGCGAGGAACGGCGGCCTCTCGTTTGTCGCGACGCGCGGAGGCGCAATGCCGTCACGGCTTATTTTGTAGCTAACGGAAAAACGTAGGATGACCGGATCTAAACCACGTCGTCGTACGTGATCGTACTCTCGGTGCGACCCTTGGTCGCGTTTACGCATTTGAGAAGAGAAGAGGTCGAGCTTGAACACGGAAAGTTTTAACAGCGTGATAACAAATATTTTTCATCGTTCCGCCTGAAATTTAGAGGTCGGAGGTTTCACGGAACGCTCGCTGTACCGAACGGCATAAGTGGACGGGGTATCTTAGAGGAAAGAAAAGGCGTCTCTACGTCTGCCTTGACTCCAATCTTTCGAAGGAAAAAAGCGGAAGATAGCCTTCTTTCTCCTTTCGTGTCCGTTTAAGACCTCGGGGGGTCAAGGAAGGCATCGGGGGAATAAACCAGCAAGACTGGTCCCTGCAAAATTGTTCGCTGCCGAACGGCATTATACACCGTGAAATTATATCTCTGGCAGAGGCGGAAGCATAATCCTGGACGATCCATGATTGCCGATCTGCGACGATGCACCTTCGGTATCGATCCCGTTTGCAAGTCATCGGAGTTGAAATAGTCTCGGTGTATTCGATACACAGCGGGTCGACACACAAATCAAACGAAGAGTAGCGACGTATCGAAGAAAAAAGGAAAAGAAGAAAACACAAAAAAAAGATGAACTCCTGCTTTCCACATTTGGCGATATTGAATCCGCGGAATGCGAACAAATCGAGGGACCGGCTCAACGACGAGTGTAACGTCGTAAACGCCGAGGACATCCGGATGCGATCGAGGACTCCGACGTTATCGGGAAAGAATGACATTTTCCAAGACTTGGATTTGTATTACGTTCGACAGATCGCACGAAACTCCAAGGTAGGATCGCGGATTAATGTTATAATACTATTAATGTTCGACGACTCTGAAAATTCATTGCTGATTGTTCCACTGAGGATGAGAGATATCGTGTCTCTAAAAATGCGGTAAAACATTCCTTTCGTTTTCGAATGTTACTAATTGTTTAAGAGACGATTATTGCAGATGACTTCGATCAAGCGGCGAGTAACATGACAATAAAGCTGTCGAGAAATAGTGCTGCAATGAGAGAAAAATGTTTTGTATTTATGACTATAATTGCATAGCCAAATAATTATGATTAGAAGCTCCACTTTTATAATTACGGTGTTGTAACGTTAGTAATAATGATTATATTTAGTTTTAAAAAATCAAAAAAATCATCATAATCATTTTGGATGCCAACTAAATGTATTTCTTGGTATGTAGAAAATAAATATTATCATTACATGTAGAAATAAATATTATTATTACGTGTGGAAAATAAATATTATTACTATTATATTAGAGAATAATAACTGGAACTTCTAATCATAATTTTGCAATACAGTTAGGTATAATTATAAATACGACGAAACACTTTTCTTTCATCGTGCAATATGTCGGATAGAATTATTAACTTTTTATTGCTAAACAGATGAGAAGAAAAATCAGATTAGAGAAAGAGAGAGAGAGAGAGAGAGAGCGAATTATATAGCAATTCTGTCGGTTTGAATTGATCGCCGATTAAGTTGATCGGTGCTTAGTCAAAGTCACCCTTGAATGTTTAATTCACGTCAAATATGTGCGAAGGGGAGTTGAGTTATTGTACGTGAGTGGCTGCCAACATTTCCTCGCGTTCGTTGTTCGTATTTTTAGACGTCGCATGTGGACATCACTTCGGTCAGACATACGGATGGTGAATGTTGTGAACAGATTTAAAATCTCAATCTCGAAATCAGCATCAGGTGTAATTTGCTGTACAGCAAATAGATGGTCTTGGTGAAAATTTTATGATGTATATCAAATATTTATTACTCATTTCTCTGTTACCTATATGTCTCTTATCGATTCATTTCGATACGACGCGATCTAATACCCATCGGTTTTACGACTCGCGGACGTATCGTACATGAAGTTGTTGCATCTTTAGGAGATTCGTGCGTGAAAGGAAGATGAACGGGCGTCGCGTGCGGTGACCATTACAGGCACACGGGGGTATTGGATTTCTGGCGACTATTTTCGGCAGAGACAAGCAGTCGGGAAAGTGCCGGCGACGCGGGAGAAAGTGATATTGAGGGGGAAACACGTAGGGAGACGAGGAACAACAACGAGGGATCGAAGGAAACCGAAACGAGATTACGTACAACGGAAGAATGCTTCGCGCTGACGAAGCTTTGTTCACGTCGACGACGCGTACTTAGGCCGGTGTATTTATAGTTGGATCTTATATTTTTGACTATATATGTTTGCGACTATCTTAAGTACAGTCTTAAAAAGTCATGAAGGCCACATTAGCGTCTTAAGGGGATGCTGGAGCGACGGTCGAATTTGATCGATGTCGATAAAGCAGATTTTCAATTCCAAATAAAATATTACGTACATGAAGAAAACGTTACGTAGATTAATTAAAACATTATGTACGTTAAGCAAAATCATTAAGTAAAACGTTACGTACATTTCTTGCTCTGCTGTATCCTATATATCATTTGAATGTGAGGAACGTACACTCAAATCGTACTTCTCAAGCCATTTCTCTTGTGAGCTTCAGAATCACAATTTGAAGGCCTCATGATACTCTTATAAATTATTCAAGAGTACTTTTTGGTTGGATATATGTTTGCTTTCATTTATATATATATG